CACCCACACACACACCCACACCCACACCCGCACCCACACCCACACCCACACCCCACACCCACACCTACACCCCACACCCCACCCACACCCGCACTCACTCAGACACACATAACGAGTTGTTTTAACGGTATGTAATGTATAGTGTGATTTTTTGGCAGTCACCACGCAGAGTTCGAATGGTTCATGGGGTTGGTAATGCGAGAAATACTAATGTTTTTCAGATGTATGGATTGGATAACTTCGTCTTCTTTTGCACGGTGTGGAAAGGTCTTTCGAATTTAATGTGTCCTCCCTGCATCTTATTTCAAGTGGTGCAATATCGTAAGTTGCAGGTTGGTGGATCCACGAGGAAAAAAACGTAAAATTTATCACAATTCGTTATGCTAATGGGATTTGACCAAAAACAAGTGTTGCTCAACCATGCATAATTGTAACATACTGTGCCATTCATGGTATCACCGATCCTCGATGGATAGAGGCCTGGGTACCAACCAGGCCAATCGGTGCCACAGGAAGTATGGCTAGGAATGTAGGTTGGTATAATTTTACCGGCTGGATACAAGAAACGTATCCAAAGACCTGAAGACCCAAATTTCAACGAGTCACATGTATCTGTCGAGGTATATGCAACATTCCTGGTTTCATCTGTAATTTTGATGTAGTTATAACATTGGTTTGGGAGCACACTTGAAGTTGTTGGAATTTCTAACAGCAAATGAAGGAAAAAGTTCATCTTACCGCCGAGTCTGCAAAAGGACAGGGGCGCATAAGACCATGATTTGGCCCATTGGACTTTTCATACTATCTTCAGCACAATCATATATAGGATGAGAGAGCTTTAATTAGCGAGTACTTTCAAATACATTTAAGGACTTCCTACCTTATGACTTCGGATGATCTTATGACGAATACATACTAATTACATCACAGCCTTTCAGACTAGTTTTCTCTATATAAGGTCAAGAAAGTCAGCTTCAATTATACACCATCGGATAGCCCTTTTCACGGGCCACAAAACTCTATAGTTTTTAAAATTATTAAAGGTGGCCCAAGAAACTTTCAAGACCACCAGGTAAAAACTATGCCTATTTTTACATATAGCGCAACATATTTGATTAAATATTTTCATAAAACTCCGTGTTAGCCAGCTTCTATTATAGATCATCAGATAGCCCTTTTCACGGGCTACAAAACTATATAGTTTTTAAAATTATTGAAGATGGGCCCTTCAAAAAGTCCAATACCACAAGGTAAAAACCATACCTATTTTTACATATAGCGCAACATATTTGATTAATTATTTTCTTAGAACTACGTGTCAGCCAGCTTCTATTACACACCATCGGATAGTTCTTTTCACGAGCTACAAAACTATATAGTTTTTGAAATTATCAAAGGTGGGCTCTTCAAAAAATCCAATGCCACAAAGTAAAAACTACATCCATTTTTAGTGTGCCCAGGTCGAGCAATCTGATAGTAGGATCCGATAGGTTCCGTCTCGGATCCTATCGGATTCCTACGAAATTCGGCCGAATCCTATCGGATTTACCCGGAAAACCTGTTGCGGAAATGTGACGGAATCCCTGGTATCGGCAGTCCTATCGGATCCTACTGTCGAAATCCGATCGGAAGCTATCGGAAAGGAACCGATCGGAAACCACTTTCGGCAACCAATATTAACCTTAGTAACGCAATCCGATCGGTTCACACTGTTGATAACCCATCAAATACCATATTTAAGACCATCAAAACATCTGAACACACAATAAATAA